TACATGTGTTTCAAATTAATCATACTTCCTTATCGTCGATTCCGTTTGAGACTCTTTAGCTGACCTTGCTATGTGTATCTCCCTTTCTCTGTTAATTATCAAGTATGGTAATTTGACTTTTGGACCTACAGCCATGTTAGTACTTAGTGCAAAATTTGAACCGTTCAAAAAGGTCTGGTTATTCCAATAGGTAGGTGATTGAAATTCATGGTAACTTTATTACTTTCAACAATCCCAAAAGCACTGACATACTAACTGGAAATAGTACAGTTTAAACAGTATGGATAATTTGTGCGCCAAGATGGTGGTGACATTGCTGCAGACTTGAGAAAACGATCGTCCGACATTGCATAGTTAAGTTGATATATCATCTCTATTAAAAAGAATGAAAGGCGCCAGTCTGAGAACCGTAATACTGTCCTTCTGGTTGTACTGACAGCATGACTGTAATCGTTTCTGTTTTGTGTGTGTGAGTCGACTTGTGTACAACTCATTAGAGATGACCTAATCATGCGCATTGAGTGATATAAGGTTAAATTGTATAAGTCAGTTGTCGCTCTGTTGGTCGTATATTTAGTTCAACGTTGGTTCATTTGCATAATACGTTTCTGCTTAAAAGTAATTTCGATCTGATTTTCGACTTTTTATATCATTTAAGTGACAGATAAAAACAATTTTAAATATCCCCATTCCGACCTTCATGCCACTAATGTTACTGCTAGTTTTTCAAAAATGGTGGATCGGAAATCGTCTTTGCACTAAAATCAATTATTTACACTTTTATTTCAATATAGATTTTGGATTAAGCTGTTTGTAGTTTACAGATTTAGATGTATTTGACTGTAGTCCTCCACAATAAAAAAAATGAATCAGAGAGATAAGCAGCAAACTGAAAACCATTCGAATCTGTGTGGCACTGCAAAAACCAACCTTAGTGGCACCGCAGGAGCCAAGCTCAGAGACACCACAAAAACTACTCTAAGGAGACACCTAAGCAGTTGAAAGTTATAGACTGCCTTTAAACCTAATACACGTCTGAACAACCAAAGACACGACATGACATAACAACACAGAGATACAACAACAGCCAAACTGCAGATATATCGCAGTTCGAACGACAGGTACCGGAACAATCGAACCACAGAGACATCGCAACAACCGAACCACATAGAAATGGCAACAACCGAACCACATAGACATCGCAACAACCGAACCACAGAAACATCACTACATTCGAACCACATAGAAATGACAACAATCGTACCACAGCGATATTGCAACTATCCAACCAAAGAGACAACACAACAATCAAACAAAAAAGAGACATCACTACATTCGAACCACAGAAACATCACTACATTCGAACCATATAGAAATGGCAACAATCGTACCACAGCGATATTGCAACTATCCAACCAAAGAGACAACACAACAATCAAACAAAAAAGAGACATCACGACATTCGCACCACAGAGAAAAACAACACCTCACACACTACCGAAATAAGGAAACCAACACTGAACCTCAGATATCTTAACAAGAAGGACAACAACATTGAATCTCAGACACGACAACAAAAGGAAATGAAAAGGAACACTAAAATCGAGGCAGTCTGGCGCTCTCTAAGATATCTGTCGGTGTGTTCCAATGTATTTATGACACATACCTGTCATAGACATGTCTGAAGCAGATTTGTGCAGTTAAAATGAGTTCGATTACAGTTTTGTTTGTTTCTTGTTGAGGGTGTTCCCGTTACATATAAGGTCATATGAAGTCGTTGTTTTTACAGATGACAGGGTCACTTTAAAATGTCATCTCACTGAAACGTCCTAACCTAGACAGGAAAGTCAGTGGTACCTGGGGAGATAAAAGGGGAAAACGAAGGGTAGGTAGGGGAGAAAAAATGTGATGGATGTCTCGAGAGTTGCAAAAGGGGCAGTGGATCATTTGAGTCTACTTCGTATCCCGGAGTAGAGTCCACAGAGGGAAATCCCCGATTATATAGGACTACAATCGTGGGGTTAGACACAGCAGGTAAATAAGATTTAAATGTCCCCAACCTATGCGGACCTGATTGCAATAGACAAGTGATAATTCGACTTTGATTGTAGTTAACACCTGTAGATTGTACATCAGACAGGTGTGACGTCCCCGACACCATTCCTCGGCAGTGACGGTAGCTTGACTTTGATGCCTGTTGAGCATTTAAGTTTTATTTCTCAGCTATTTCAGTATTATAACACACAAAATGATATTGTTCTATATAAAAGGCGATGCGTTTGTTTGGCACTTTGCGAAAATGATTTCAAAATATGTATTTAAATTACTATTTTCTTTAAGAAACCTCAACTTAGGTTTTGAGTAAGGCTAGAACAATCTGGGGGAGCGGACGGTCTGATCCACGGGGCACGGTTAATGTTTGTTTTGTTACCTGTGTGGATATACCTTTGTGTCATGTTTACAACGGGTAATCAGCAGAAAGCGGGATGGAAACCCAGCTATCCTCCCCACCATGCTGTTAAACTCTCGTAAAAGTTCATTGCAAACATAGCCAAGTGTGTATGTGTGTTTGTTAATACCTGTGGCCGCGTGCTGTCTGTAAACTACCTGTAAACTATCTGTATAATACCTGTAAACTACCTGTATGATACCTGTGAAATACTTATATGCCCTAGCCACCCACTTAGTAGGGAGAAACAGATTTGAATTTTAACCTGCGTAAAAAGTGTGGTATTCCCAGCACACGTACTGTGGGCATTACAGTGACCGATATTTAAATTCACCACAACTATATTATATTAGGATTCTTTCGTGACGTAATTCGTCCTGTCTTAGTTTTAATTATTTACCAGTGGTGACACCTGGTTTAGTAACACACGGGAACTGCACCCTTTTTCTGGTTAAATATTTGCATAATTAAAGCATTAGCGCATGTGCATGTCATGGTGGTACCTATGTAGCATTCCAAGTTTAATTTTATCATGTCTATATATCACTTTCTCCATGAATAAAAACTTATCAGGACATGAAATCTGGTTATATAGGTTAACGTAGAGAATTATTAGCCTTCTTGCAAGGCAAAACTGCAATAGATCTCGGAGCCAGTCATTACATTTCGATGATCTGCGCCAAGAGGTTAGAATATAAATGTGCAATGAGCCTGCGACTCCTTTCAACACTTAAAGAGATGACATGAATAAAAAAAAAATGTGGAACAAACAAAATCCGTGCGAGGACTTGAGGGTGATCCCTGTGATAGCTGCTCCCGGAACGTCGCTCCCCTACACTAGTACTGCTTAGTCTAATTTGTACAGCAATAGATGTTTACAACTAGCGGTTGCATAAACTGGTTTCCAAATAGATACCGGAAAACTGTATTACATAAGATTATATATGACCGAGTTCCACAATAATTTGTTGTCATATGGACACAATCTACATATCACATCTCCAGCACACACGCAGGCATACACAAATAGGGAGATATTTGCCAGGTGGCATAGGACTAGTAGTTAGCGCCTGATAAGGCAGCTCCTGCGAATTCTTCAAAATTGAATTGATTACCGTAAATGCTAATTGTAATAGTTGTATATCTATGTACTGTAAAGCGCTTTCGAGTGGCTTATATGTTAGCTAGATAGAGCGCTATATCAAATGATGTATATTATTATTTATTATTATCTACTGGGTGGCCACACAAGTACTGCTTAGTCAAACGTATACAATGCAGTCGTAAACTATTCTGTACAGCAATAGATGTTTACAAATGGCAGTTGCATGAACTGGATTTCCACACAGATACCGGAAAAATGTATTGCATAAGATTATATTTGGCCGAATACCATCATAATTCACTGTCATATCTTTTAATATGGACACAGTCTAATGTGTTGCCACTCCTGTTTTTCATGTGGCATGCATATCTGGCCTAGTCGTCTTTATGTATTGAGGCTTTTGAAACTTAAATATCAGATGATTTCATCACTAGAAGCTTTAAATAGTTTATATCTTTAATAACTATCGTTCTCTGTACAAAATGTTTCTTAAGACCGAGTAGGAAATGGGCGGAGATCATATATACAGTGTGATTTCGTTCATTTACAGTAATACAAAGGACAGACTATGAACGGAAACATTTCCAATAAACGTTCAATTCCTTTTTGTTCTAATGCATCGGGGAAGTAAATAGTTGAAACCTCAAAATGTATTACTTTGGCAAGTCTGTGAGCAGTGTCTGTTTTGCAATGAGCACCTAACTGACAACCGGCTCGAGTTGACATCTTTGTTACTACTGCACTTCAGAGTTCGTACGCGGTCACTGACATGCACAGTGCTTTCTTTGTTTCATGGCAGCATGCAAGCACATTTATATTATACGTTATGCAGGTGGAATTCGACGGAATGATAACAGTTATTACTATTCTGAATTTCCCTCTTTACTGAACGCGTGTCTGGACAGAAACTTTTCTGAACTGTGTTTAACTGGGATGCCCAGGCCTTTGTACACTTGTTAAACAAAGTCATTTATGACTTCAACCCTTTCAATACAAATCCAGGGTAAATATTAACCCATACAATCGACAAATGGCGCCCAACATACATATCCGAGGGAGCAGCAACCTCGACCGTGGCTTCGTTGGCCCTGTTTGAAAAAGAGATTATCCTATACTACAAAACATGTTGTGTTAGGTAAATGGGTTTCTGTCTTTAAAACTCGGCCAGATTGACGAGATAGTGCAGTATTGACTTATAAACGTGTAAAGTCGTACTACCTTACTTACACGGACTAATGCAAAGCAATGGTAATTTAAAAATGAGGAAAAACATGTTTAATTCATTCTTCCAATCGAAAATCACACAAACAAACATACTTATAGCTTTCTAACGTGAAGACACCGTAATGGCTTCTGTCCGAGACCGCTGCCGGGATATCGGCAGCCCCCTGGTGTAGCGACTCCTAGTGTTAAAGCTCTGTACGCATACAATCGTAAGCCCATTGATAAAAGTAGTGTACTACCTACTACAAGTGAATGAATATGGGCTGGCGCTCTTCAATGAGCCAACTATGAATAACAATAGACCGTGGAGTGTTCATCGCCCATAACTAGCGATATAAATCCGCGCGACAGGTAGTGTAGGCTTACCGCGCAGCAGTAAGGATGTATGTGACAAGACACACGGCTAAAGCTGTCATGTGTTAAGCAGAAGCTGTGAGTTGTAATGTAGACAACTTTACCTGGACAAACAGATATTGTGAAGTGTTTGACAGTCGCTTGATAAACATGGAGCGTTCTAAAAGACAATGCAGAACCAAAAAAAGCACCGAAAAGACTTTCTCTTCTCAGTCTTGTGCTGAAGACATGTCGGACGAATTTGGTGAAAAATATAACTTTAGACGTAGCTCTCTGGTGAACAGAGTGGTCAGTGAGAGAAAGCGCAAAGAGACTAAACTACCGAAGCCCAAGTGCAAGCCTCCTCCACTGAGCAAGTACCGGCGGAGAGCAGCAAACTCCAGAGAGCGGGGTCGTATGGAGGATATCAACTCAGCTTTCGAAGTATTAAAAGGAGTTTTACCTGACATTGAGGCATGTCCGTCGTCCAAAATGACTAAAATCACCACACTGAGACTCGCCATGAACTATATATCTGCATTGCGCAACAGTCTCGGCGTTGAAGACGACCTTAACTCAGACGCGTCCTCTTCTCGATCGTCTAGCATGTCCTCTGGGGATGAGGATCTGTGTCTTAGTCCCTCTTCCGTCTCGGCACCGGAAGATTTCTTGAGCTCGGAGGACATTGCCTCATCAGAAGACTTCGACCTCGACATCCAAGTTCCGTCAGAACTGCTGCTCAGCTAGTGTAGGTGGGTTATTGCAGCGACTCGGCGTTATTCAGCATCCTCATCCATCCTCCTTATCTGCAGTCTCATCGTGTGAACTTCTCATCCTGCGTAAGGCAACCCTTTTGGGATCATGAACGGAATGCATGATGTTAGCACAGGAATAAAAGACCTGTTTCATATGTAAATGTGTAGTGCAGGAAAGGGACCTGTATGACATGTATGTGCTACCATGGGGTGACCAACTCCGTGGTGTAAACATTTTGGGGATTAAATGAGCCAGTGTCTATTTTTACACGATCGACTGTATCAAAATTACCTCTCTGTAAATATGTGTGAGAAAAAAATCATCGAAAGTGCTTGTACTCGAGAACATGATAAGTGTTCGGGAAAAGATTGGCGTACACACGTGCGGAAGCACGGACTGAACACATGCACGTGGAAGGCACGTGCAGTCAACCCCGTGGATTATTATTTTATACTGTATGACTATTGTCTCAGACTTTGGGAGTGAAAGGATTAATGGACGAATTTCTGTAGTCTCAATCGTAAGTGAGCAACGCATATGATCACATAATCATCAGAGCGGTTGGACTTTCATACATTCCTATATATTTGTGGCCAACTCTAATGACGATTTTCTTGATGAAGACATGTTTTTTACCAAATGAAGATTTATTTTATTTTTTATTGAACAAAATATTCCTGTTGTCAAATTAGAATTTATAGATATATACATTTATATATATATATATTGTCCGAGTAATGATTGTTAAACTTTCTGCATACCTTCGCTCTACAAACTCGCTCTCTTACAACAGTATATCAGCAAAACCTGGTTGTCACACATTTTGTTTCGTCAATTCTGCAAATTTTTATTTTATATAAAAAAAAAATGCCATTATTATTTCGACTTCTATTATTGAAAATAGACGTTTTGATACACGTATATGATAAATGATGAAGCTGTCATTGGATAACTGTTTAGATTTGTAACAGCCAGGTTGAGAGTCTGATGTAGGAATTTTTACCTACATATAACGTGCATGGACGTGTGAACGCGTACCTTCACGGGTACTTATAGGTGGTACATATCATTGGAATATTAAAATAATAATGTTGACAAAAAAAATCAGTCTTTGTATTTTTGTTTTACCTTTAAATCCCTCTAGTGTTTGCTGAATGCCTGGTGCCCTGATGTGTCCAGATCAGTATTCAGTTACGGTCAGTGAATTTCTTAATGGGACAGTTTTGCGGAAGGCTAATTTTATATAGACATGAGGAGGGGTACAACTGATACTTCTATTATCCGCAACATTTTCTATATGAAAAGCGCGGAGAGAAAGGATAGTTTTATTAATTAAAGAGGCGGAATGGCCTTTAAACGTCTACTTTATCATTACTCGTCGCCCGAATGAGAAAAAACTTAAGTGGACCGGAGCGTAACGCTGTGACACAGGGTCGACTTGTGTTGGTCAAACACTTACGTGACCTGCTGAGGATCAGCCATAGCAATGCCACAGACCTCATTAGGGCCTAACATTACATGAACAATGTCATCGATACACTAAGTTCTACCAGGCCGACACAATTCTCTTTGTCATCAATAAGGACCCTTACGCCTTAGATAAGTTCAGCGGGGCCCCCTTACACTATTCGAACACGGGGCATTTGTATAACCAACAATGTCTTGCTATCATGTTTATTTACTTTGAGTTCACGTGCTCATTAGTCGTGAATCTACACCATCACATCAATGCAACACCTTTCCATTTAAATCCGTTCCACTTTAAAACCTTGTCTACGAAATTATCTCACCCATCGTACGTCTATTTAAACGAATCGTCTAGTTCTCATCTGCAAGGATTGTAATTATAGAAATGAAAACGACCTACGAATTACTAAACGGGGTCACCGGGTTCTATTTTCGGAGATAATGAAAGAATAGAAAATAGCCCCTGGGAGATGGAGTGCCGGGGGATATATAACGCTTTCTAAACAATATATAGTTTCGTTTGTTTGGTTAATTTTTCCCAATGACATACAACGTTCATGATAATAGCAAAAAGGATTCACAAGCATGCAGACAGCTTACTTAAACCATCTCCCGGATATATTTAGCTGTGGTTGATGGTGTGAAAAAGATTTAATTTTGTTGCCTACTATATAAATACAACGACTCGACAAAACTCGCTTCAAAACAACAGCTTATAAAAAAGAGATTCGGGCCCTTTCCGTAACCCTTCGATGGGTCTTTACAATACGCTATAGGTCTGTTGGGTCGAATCCAACTCTTTAAAGATAATAAGAACTTAGTTATGTTCAAGTGTTAATGAACTGAAGACCGAGCCGAAGTGTTCATGTTTTATTCAAAAAAATACATTTCAATTGGCCTCGGCCTTGCAGAAGTAAAGCATTACGATTTTCTCGGTATTCTGTGCTGCTAACAGAGGGTTGACTTTCCGGGATGTCCTACATTATCTAACATTGAGGTATATACAGTCTTACCTGTGGTATGAAAGGGAGCCGACAGGTGAGCTAATTACACCAAGACAGGTGAGCCCAACACCACCTCTATAACATTCATACATACCACAACAGGTTAACTCAATACCAACACCAGAACACCCATATACACCACGACAGGGTGGGTTCATTTACCAACTCTATAACATGCACAAAAGCTACGACATGTGAGCCAAATACCAACAACATAACACCAACACACACACTATTACAGGTGATCATGAGCTCAATACTTACTCTATTACATCCACACACACCACGACAGGGTGAGCCCAATACCAACTATGTTACATCCATCCACACACACCACGACCGGGTGAGCCCAATACCAACTCATAACATCCACACACACCACACCAGAGTGAGCCCAATACCAACTATATTACATCCACACACACCACGACCGGGTGAGCCCAATACCAACTCACAACATCCATACACACCACGACAGGGTGAGCTCAATACCAACTCTATAACATCCATACACACCACGACAGGATGAGCCCAATACCAACACATAACATCCATACCCACCACGACAGAGTGAGACCAATCCCAACTCATAACATCCATACACCCCACGACAGGGTGAGCCCAATACCAACTAATAACATCCATACACACCACGACAGGGTGAGCCCAATACCAACTCTATAACATCCATACACACCACGACAGGATGAGCCCAATACCAACACATAACATCCATACACACCACGACAGAGTGAGACCAATACCAACTCATAACATCCATACACACCACGACAGGTGAGCCCAATACCAACTCATAACATCCACACACACCACAACAGGGTGAGCCCAATACCAACTCATAACATCCATACACACCACAACAGGGTGAGCCCAATACCAACTCATAACATCCATACACACCACGACACGGTGGGCCAAATACCAACTCATTACATCCACACACACCACGACAGGGTGAGCCCAAAACCAACTCATAACATCCATACACACCACGACAGGGTGGGCCCAAAACCAACTCATAACATCCATACACCCCACGACAGGTGAGCCCAATACCAACTCATAACATCCACACACAACACGACAGGGTGGGCCCAATACCAACTATATTACATCCACACACACCACGACAGGGAGAGCCCAATACCAACTCATAACATCCACACACAACACGACAGGGTGGGCCCAATACCAACTATATTACATCCACACACCCCACGACAGGGTGAGCCCAATACCAACTCTATAACATCCATACACACCACAACAGGGTGAGCCCAATACCAACTCATAACATCCATACACACCAAGACAGGTGAGCCCAATACCAACTCATAACATCCATACCCACCACGACAGGGTGAGCCCAATACCAACTCATAACATCCACAATACCAGCTCATAACATCCATACACACCACGACAGGGTGAGACCAATACCAGCTCATAACATCCATACACACCACGACAGGGTGAGACCAATACCAGCTCATAACATCCATACACACCACGACAGGGTGAGACCAATACCAGCTCATAACATCCATACACACCACGACAGGGTGAGCCAACTCATAACATACACACACACCACAACAGGGTGGGCCCAATACCAATTTATTACATCCACACACCCCACGACAGGGTGAGACCAATACCAACTCATAACATCCACACGCACCACAACAGGGTGGGCCCAATACCAACTCATCACATCCACACACACCACGACAGAGTGAGACCAATACCAACTCATAACATCCATACCCACCACGACAGGGTGGGCCCAAAACCAACTCATAACATCCATACACCCCACGACAGGGTGGGCCCAAAACCAACTCATAACATCCATACACACCACGACAGGTGAGCCCAATACCAACTCATAACATCCATACCCACCACGACAGGGTGAGCCCAATACCAACTCATTACATCCACACACACCACGACAGGGTGAGCCCAAAACCAACTCATAACATCCATACACACCACGACAGGGTGGGCCCAAAACCAACTCATAACATCCATACACACCACGACAGGTGAGCCCAATACCAACTCATAACATCCATACCCACCACGACAGGGTGGGCCCAAAACCAACTCATAACATCCATACACACCACGACAGGGTGAGACCAATACCAGCTCATAACATCCATACACACCACGACAGGGTGAGACCAATACCAGCTCATAACATCCATACACACCACGACAGGGTGAGCCAACTCATAACATACACACACACCACAACAGGGTGGGCCCAATACCAACTCATAACATCCACACACACCACAACAGGGTGGGCCCAATACCAATTTATTACATCCACACACACCACGACAGGGTGAGACCAATACCAACTCATAACATCCACACACACCACAACAGCGTGGGCCCAATACCAATTTATTACATCCACACACCCCACGACAGGGTGAGACCAATACCAACTCATAACATCCACACGCACCACAACAGGGTGGGCCCAATACCAACTCATCACATCCACACACACCACGACAGAGTGAGACAAATACCAACTCATAACATCCATACACACCACAACAGGGTGGGCCCAATACCAACTCATAACATCCACACACACCACAACAGGGTGAGCCCAATACCAACTCATAACATCCATACACACCACGACAGGGTGAGCCCAATACCAACTCATAACATCCATACACAACACGACATGGTGAGCCCAATACCAACTCATAACATCCATACACACCACGACAGGGTGAGACCAATACCAACTCATAACATCCACACACACCCCGACAGGGTGGGCCCAATACCAACTCATAACATCCATACACACCACGACAGGTGAGCCGAACACCAACTCATAACATCCATACACACCACGACAGGTGAGCCGAACACCAACTCATAACATCCATACACACCACGACAGAGTGAGACCAATACCAACTCATAAGATCCACACACACCACGACAGGGTGGGCCCAATACCAACTCATAAGATCCATACACACCACGACAGGGTGAGCCCAATACCAACTCATAACATCCACACACACTACGACATGGTGAGCCCAATACCAACTCATAACATCGATACACACCACGACAGGGTGAGCCCAATACCAACTCATAACATCGATACACACCACGACAGGGGGAGCCCAATACCAACTCATAAAATCCATACACACCACGACAGTTGAGCCGAACACCAACTCATAACATCCATACACACCACGACAGAGTGAGACCAATACCAACTCATAACGTCCACACACACCACGACAGGGTGGGCCCAATACCAACTCATAACATCCATACACAACACGACATGGTGAGCCCAATACCAACTCATAACATCGATACACACCACGACAGGGTGAGCCCAATACCAACTCAATAACACTCACACACACCACGACAGGTGAGCTCAATACCAACTCTATAACATCCACACACACCATGACAGGTGAGCTCAATACCAACTCTATAACATCCACACACACCATGACAGGTGAGCTCAATACCAACTCTATAACACTCACACACACCATGACAGGTGAGCTCAATACTTACTCTATAACACTCACACACAC